GCTTGAGCCACTGTGCGAAACCTTTTTTTGTGATGGGTATTTTCAAGATAGAGTCTGGTGAATTTTTTGCTCAGGGCTGGCTTTGAACCAAGATCCTCTTGATCTTTGCTTCCTGAGAAGCTAGGATTATAGGCGTGAGCCACTGGCACCCAGCTAATATATGTATATATGGATATATATTTGATGGTACTGGGGCTTGAACTCAGGACCTCATGCTTGCTAGATGCTCTACCACTGGAGCCACTCTGCCAGCCCCTCAACTGTTAACCATTCTGTTATTTTTATTAGGAAAGTGTACAGTTCACTGGTTTTTAATATATCCACACAGTGTGCAACAACCACCACCCATTTCCTAATTCCAGAATGTTTTCATCACCCAAACAGCCTCTGAACTTGATGGGGTTAGCAAACTTGGGGGCAGGCTGCCTGTTTTTCAGGATCTTGGGTTCTTCTTTTATATTGTCTCTGAAATTTCTATGTTCATTTAGTCCTGAAGCTGAAGTTTGGACAGATTGTCCTTTGGTCCAGGTTATAACTTACTGTCCTGTGTCCTGAGATTGCATTTAAAAAATGTTAAGGTGCAGATGAGGATCCACTTTGGGTCCACACTGTCTAAGTCAGAGGTTTTAGTGCAGTCAAAACTGTGACTGTGCAAGAATGTTATTGATCCACACACCCTTTAGGGATACTTGGAGTGAGACTTTGGGTGATGGTGACTTCCATAGAGGAGAAGCTGAAGCCTGTGGTAAGGTAGACTGAGATGGGAAGGGAAGGTTTACCTAGGGAAGCTGGCATTCTTTACCTGAGTGGACTTGAGGCTTGAGTGGGGCACAGTCACCTGGAGACTGCCAGGATCCATGTGAATGTCTGCTCCAGTAGATCTGGCTAGGGTCTGAGAATGCATGTCTTCCTTTTCTGTCTGTATTTTTGTTTGTTTGTTTGTTTGTTTGTGGTACTCAAGAGTTGAACTCAGGGTCTCCTGCTTATTAGGCAGGGACTCTACCACTTGAGCCACACCACCAGCCCTTTTTGTTTTTGTTGTTTTTAAAATAGAATCTCGATTTATGCCCAGGTCAGCTGCCTGCGCATACCAAGATCCTACTACTTGCGCTTTCCTTGAGTAGTTGGGATGACAGGTGAGTAGTTGAGATAGGGTTTGGGAACTTTTTGCCCTCACTGACCTTGAACCAAGATCCTCCCAGTCTCTGCCTCCTGAGTAGCTAGGATTACAGGCGTGAGCCACCACGCCTAGTGAGAATGTGTGGTTCTAACATGTACCCAGGTGAAACCCATTTAAATGATGCTGCTCTACCTACAGTGTCTCCTAATTGACATTACTTGATCTTAGCTTCAGCTTTGCTGTCTCCACACCGTGTAGGTATATTTCAGTGTACTTTGGTTATGAGAATACAGTTGAGCTTCCTAGAGTCCTTTTCTCTATCCAGTAAGTTCAAAGCATCGCTGAATGCAAGTGGGTTTTTTGGGGTACTTAAGTAAGGTATCTGTTAATGTCTTGTTATTTAGGCAGCCCTTTTAAAGCAGGGGTGGTAGTAATGGGGTGTGTGGGAACATTGTGTTTTTTTTGATATCTCTCCAGGTGGTAGCATGATGGATAGTCTTCCCTCTCTTATATCTCCATTTGGTTCTGGTAGCTGAAGTTGACTGAGATTCTCTTATCTCTGCTTCCTGGATAGATGAGATTATAGTTGCATACCACCACACCTGCTTGTTCTTTGGAATAAGGGTCTTACTAACTTTTTGTTATTGTTTTGTTTTATGGCTGGAGCTGGTCTTGAACCTAAATCCTCCTAGGTCCACCTTCCAAGTAGCTGAGAGCTAAATGTCATAATCTACCTATCTACCAGCCTACCAGATATTTACAAGGACAAGTTCTGTTGAAGTGTTTAAAAGCTGTTCCTAAAAATAACCCAAGTTTTTTTCCAGTGTTAATTCTTTTACAAAGTTACAAAATCAGGGCTGGTAGAGTGGCTCAAGTGGTAGAGTGCCTTCCTAGCAAGCATGAGGCCTTGAGTTAAAACCCTAGTATCACCAAATTAAAAAAGAAAATCAAGTGAATAACAACAACAAAATGCAAAAAAGAATTCCCTTCTAGCAGACGGGCCAGGGTGAATGTGGTGAAACAGAAATGTGTCTAGGGGGTTGTTCGTCTGTAAGGAAGGATGTTAACTTCAGGTACGTACTTTCATGGGTTTCTGCTGACCTGCTGAAGTATGTTGAAGTGTAAAATGTAGAGAACCGAGAATTTACATTTGAGGAGAAAGGAGGGAACTGGGAGAACCTCAGCTCTGGGGAATTGAACAAGATGAAGGTAGGGCATGCCACTGTGTGCATGCATGGGGCATCTGTCCTGTAACTGCAGTAGTCCAGCTTCATGTAACTCTGCTGTCATTATAATTCCAAAGGAGTTCTTTGGAAGGAAAAAGAAGTGTCTGTGCAAGAAATAAGGAAGCTTGTCTAGGTGAAGTTGGCCACTTGTAGTGCCAAGTCAAAAGAGAAGCAGGTGGTCTGAGTGGCTGGGAATCAGGGAATGATTGGGATAGTCAGCACTTGAGCTATACTGTTACTGTCTGTGTAACTCATACAGGGTACTAGTCTGCATTCCTGCTCCCACCCCCCAATACACACTTTTGTGGTGGTACTAGGGCTTGAACTATATACCACTTGAGCCATGCCTCCAGCCTTTGTTTTTGCTTTAGTTATTTTTCAGATAGGGCTTCATATTCTTACCTAAGGCTGGCCTCAGACTGAGATTCTTTCATCTCTGCTTCCTGGATAGATGAGATTATAGTTATGTACCACCACACCTGGCTTGTTCTTTGGAATAGGGTCTCATTAACTTTTGTTTTGTTTTGTTTTATGGCTGGAGCTGGTCTTGAACCTAAATCCTCCTAGCTCTACCTTCCAGGTAGCTGAGATTACAGGTATGAGCCAGTGCACCTGGCTTTTTTTTGTTTTTTGATCTCCCCATGTAGCCCAGGTTGACTCCCAATTCTCCAGCCTCCTGCCTCTGCCTCTCAAGTGCTCCTTTTTAAGGAGATTCAAGGTCAGTCAGAAGGCCCCAGGATAAAGTGTGGAAGGATCACACCCTCGTAGTGTCTGGGGGCTTTTCCTGGGAGCTGGCCCAGAGGAGGCTTTTCAGCTGCCATTCGGGTTCTTACTCAAAAAGGCTGCAGGGGACACTTTTCCAGAAAAGAAGGGGGAAGACACTTAAGTCTGTTTACCTTTTTAAAAGTTCAGAAGGCATTGAAAGAATGGGAAAGTGCCTTCTCTTCCCATTTCTGAGAAAAGGTTCATTGAAATGGCTTGAAATTAGGCAGGATCTGTAAAACTGATATCTGAGTAAAGTCACTCCCATTTTCCTGACACATCTTTAAGCTGTGTGATGACTGATTGTCTTTCCTGGTATCAGAAGACACTTGCTAATGTGTGTGTTAGAATTCTGTTTTTGAGCTGTGGAACAAAATTTAGACTTCTTAACTCCTGATTATTTAAGATTCATTTTTGTTAAATACTTTAATTATTACTAATCAAATTTTTTTATATTGAAACATTTGCAGTTTTTAATAATCCATTCCTCAAGCAATTCAAAGAATCTGCTGTGGTGATTATGTATTTTTTATTTCATAAATGAGGATAGTTTTGGAATTAGCACCTGTCATCATCCAATACACTGATGACTGATGTCTTTTCATTGAGTGTCCTTTGGCTGCCCCTGCTAGGCTGTAAGTTCTGTATGGACAGGGATCTTCATCTGTGTGTTCACTGCTGGAGCCTGAAAGTTTAGACCAGCACCTTGCTACTAGTGCCTACGGACTGTTCATTGAATGAATGATTGAGGAACCCATCAACACTTGCTGCTAAGTTGCTGCTTAAGTGGACTGCTCTTTATCCCTGAATTAAACAACCTGCCTTTGAAATAGTCACTGTAGCACCCAACAGATCCATAGGAACTATCCCCAAAAACTTGTGATGCAGAGAGGAGCAAATGTGTGCTCCCTAAATGCCCACAGATTCCCAGCATTGCAGAAGGAAGGAAGAAAGGAAGGATCGAGCGAGGCAGATATGCTCAGTCTAGACCTCAGACTCCTCAGTCAGGGAAAGGCACCAAGGAGTGAGCGAGGGGAGGCAGGAAGCCATGATCATCCTCTGTGTAGGAGTGCTTGCAGGTGGAAACATGCAGCCTGGGAAAGAGGGATGCTCTTCCCCACCTGCAGCTTTCCACGATACAGCACTTAGAGAAAATGCTGCTCTTCTCAGAGTCCGGCCATCAGAAACACAGTTGTGTTTCAGAAGTTTTTCTGTGCTGGTGTGGGCATGTGTACATGTATGTGTATATGTACATGCACATTTATTTACCCAGAATAGGTCTACTCACCCGCAATTTTGTAGTCTAGTTTTCTCATAACATGTTGTATGTTAGGTCTTTCTTGACAGTAACCATGGCATCATGTTTACTGACTGCATATTAATACTGTCTTTTACTTCATGCCATCATTTATGCATTCAGCAATGTTTTTGAGGGCCCACTATGTACCAGGCACTGGTTGGAAATACTGAGGGTACCAGACAGGCATAGTCCTGTTCTTGTGGAGCGTACATTTTAGAACATAAGTGAATAAGTAGGGAAGAGTTTCAGAGAGTGCTCAAAAGAAAACAACAGGATGCTGAGGTGAGCACTCTAGGTGGATGTATTATAGTGTTATGGGAGACCTTTAGAAGTGATACATGAGCAACATCTGAATGATGAAGGAAGGCCAGCTGCCTGAGGATCTGGAGGAATAACATTCTAGGTGGAGTGAATAGTCTTTGCAAAAGCCCTAACGCGGGAAAGTGCTTAGTTTGAGGAAGAGTGAAGAAGACACTGTTGGTTAGAGCAGAGTGGCCTTTTGGGAGATGAGCTAGCAAGGTGGACCAGGTTGATCTAGGAGTGCTGCATAGGGATGAAGCCTTGGGGTTTAGTTTTAGGCAGTGGGAAGTCATCATAGGATGAGGTTTCTGGAGGTGACACCATGTGGAGTTTTCTTTTTGTGGTCATTCTCTGGCTGCTCTGGGGCTATCAGAGGAAGCAGAGAGACCAGTTAGGAGACTGTTACAGTCATTGGTGTCTTGGTAAGAGATGACGGTGGCAGAGAACAGGGAGAGAAGTGAAAGTATTTTAGAGACGGAGCTATCAAACCTGGGGAATTGGATGTAGGGTAAGGAAAGGAAAGCCCAAGAAAGAGCCCTTGGGTCTGGGGGCGTGGCTCAAGTGGTATCGCTCATGCATGTGGCCCTGGGTTCAGTCTTTAGTACTAAAAAAAAAAGAAGAATGAGCCCTCTGCACTGTTGGTGGTCTTATCACTGAGACAAGGAAGACTGAGGGAGGAGAAAATGGGGCAGGGGAGTCAAACAGTGCTCTTCTGGGACGTGTGAAGTGGGAAATGTTGGTTAGACAGCAGAGTGTTGTTGAATGGGCTGCTGTGCATAAACCTGGGTGGAGGTCCTGTCTGGAGATGTACATTGCAGAGCCATCGGTGTACCAGTGGTGTTTAAAGCTGTGGGCTACATGAGGTTACCCTTGGTGCAGAAGATAGATGGAGAAGGGGACGTGAACCTGTGCAGAGCAGGAGGAGCCAGCGCAAGTGGCTGCAGAGGCCACAGCAGTGGTGTGACGAGGCAGGTGTGAGACTGAAGCTGGGAAAACAGGTTTTAAGGGTGGCACCTCAGTTTTCTGCTTCAACAAAGCATCACAAATTCAGTGACTTAAAACAACACAAATTTTATTATCTATGGTCTGTAGGCCAGACACCAGACATGGTTCTTACTGGGCCAGAATCAAGGTGTGGCAGGGCTGTGCTCCTTTCTGGAGACTCTAGGGACAGTCTTTCCTCCTGCACCACTCTCTAGTGGCTTGTGGCCTCTTTCTCCATTCTCAGAACCTGCAACCTAGAGTTTCTTTGGCTTGCCTCCATCTTCACATTTCTTTCTCTGAGTCTGACCTCTCCTCCTTCTCTCTCTCCTTTCCCACTTTTAGTGCTTTTTCTTTTGGCATTGCTGGGGATGGAACACATACTAGGCAAGAGCTGTACCATGAAGCTACGTTCCTAGGCCCCCCACCCTTCTACTTTTAAGGTCTGTATTGTTTACACTTAGTCCACTTGAATAATTCAGGAAAATCTCCCTCTTGAGAGGTCAGCTGATAAGCAACTTAAACTCCATCTGCTGCCTCAATTACCTTTTGCTTTTTAACATATTCACAGGTTCTGGGGTTTAGGATGTGGTATCTTTGTTGGTGGGGATGTGCCACTATTCTTCCTGTTGGACAGGGTATAGCCAGAGATTATTAACTGGGAAGTTGAGTAAAATGGGGATGGAGAGGTCACCATTGAATTTGGTCATGCAGAGGCTCTTATTGACCTTGATGAATGGTTGTTGGTAGAGTGGGTTGAAGAGAGAGAGATGAGGACACAGAGGCCATAAATATAAGTGATTTATGATGGGAGTTTTGCTGGGAAGGAAAGTAAATTGCAGCAAGGATTACAAAGGAAAGGCACAGAGAACAGATCTGAGGGTGAGATAGAAGACCTACTGTAGGGCAGAGGTCTCATGGAGGAAGGGGCCTGAGGATAGTGTCTGTTGGTGTAGGATGGCTGGATGAAGAACCTAGCGCAAAACCATGAAATGGTTTATAGAGACAGAAACATGAAGATAGAATTAATGAAGCTATTATAAATTAAGAGACAGAACACCCTGATTCCTGTACTTGCCCCTGGGTCTGTGGACAGGATATTCGTCAGTGGCCACTACAGGGCCCTCCAGCATCAATGATATGCTCTTATTATTCCATGGGGAGTTGAAGTCAGTGTTGGACTTCTGGCCTTTCTTTTCAGGGAGCCTGGACCACCTGTGATCTGGCTACAACTCAGTGCTATGGTGCCATGCATGCTCCATGCCACACAGGGATCCAGTCCTTTTCTCCTTACTTCTGCTCTTACCTGCTGCCTGCTGAGTTGTAGTCCTGCTTCAGTTTTTCATTGCATTCCAGTAGCATTTATTTATTCACCAGAGTTAAAATCTTTTGTTTTTTGGGGGCAGCACTGAGGTTTGAGCTCAGGGCCTCATGCTTGCTAGGCAGGCACTCTACCACGTGAGCTACTCCACCAGCCCAAGGCCTAGATTAACTTAAAAAATTTTTTGGCAGTTGTTGGGTTTGAACTCAGGACTTCATGCTTACTAGGCGGGCACTCTTACCACTTGAGCCACTCTGCCAGCCTCACCAGGGTTTATTGAACCCTAGGTTCTGGGGAATACTGGTCAAATGCCAGTCTTCAGCTAGCCTAATCTTCTGGCCTCTCTGTGCCTGCACCCAAGCAGCTCAGTGTTGGTGGAGAAAAACAAGACACAAGGCCAACTACGACCTGTATGTAATTGGTGGCCATATGCCTCAAGTGGGCATCATCACCAAAACCTTCAGTCTTGCAGGATTCTGCCCATCTCCACCTGTTCTGTTGTCCATGACCATTTCATCTTTTTGCCTTCCTCAAATTAGGCTCCAGCACCCCCACCTGGAGCCGATGAACCTGCTTCACATCAGGAAACAGAAGCCAGTGGGAGCTCCAGATCTGCCTGTCACCAAACTCCCTTTAAAAGCCAGTCTGCTCCCATGAGCTATGGACCCCAGCCCTTCTCCCCTCAAACACTCATGTCCATAGCTGCCCTTCACTCTCCTGCATCAGTGATTCCTCCAGTTCCACTGTGCTATTCAGGTGCAGAGATGTACAGAGCCCCTGTGTTGTACCTGTCCTGGGATGGAAGTCAAACCTTGCTGACACATGGTCCATCCCTCTCTCAAAATTTCCTTCTTAACATCAAAACATCCCCAAAAGTAATCCGCATATTTCTTGTACTTTCTCACTGTAAAGTGATTCTTAAGATTCTCCTGCCTACCCCTCTACCCCCTCTATAAACTACCTGCCAAGTTTTCCAACAACATGCAAAATGCCAAACCCAACGGCTGCTTTGTCCGCACCTTACTTAGCCAGGTAACTAACAGCTTCTAGCTGTTAGTCCCCTCTGAGGCACTGTCTTCTCCAGGGTAACATCCTCTTCTGGTGTCCTACTTTGTGGATCACTTCTTTTGTCCCCAGTTGTCATATTCTTCTCAGTCCACTTTTTCAAGGGTAAAGGCCCTTGGTGTGCCCCACCCCAATATAGTAATTCCATCGCCTAACAGAGCCTCACACACCTTCTCCATGTCCCACATTAAGCCCCGACCTTTCCTCAGACAGCTCCAGATGCTTATTGGCAGCTCATGTGTAACTGTTCAAAATCAACCGACTCTACATTAGTCTGTTTTTTGTTAATGTAACAAAATAGCTGAAACCTGACTACTTACCAAGAAAAATTTATTTAGTGCAGAGTTTTGGAGGCCGAAAGTTCAGGATCCCATGGCCCCATTGATTGAGCCTCTGGTGAAGTCCTAAATGTAGATAGCATCATTGTGAGAACAAGTTCGGGAGGGAGAGGTCATGTGGCAAGACAGGAAGCCAGAGAGCAGGGGCCAGGCTTGCTAGTTTATAACAACCTTAGTGAAAATTACCTGGAGTTTTTTGAGAACATCATGGGTACATTTCAAGGGCAGCACCCTCAGTGACCCGTTTCTTCCCACTAAGCCTCACCTCTTAAAGGTTACAGCACCTCCCAAAATTCTGACACTGAGGACTACATTCCTAACACGTGACTTTTAGGATTACACTCAAGCCACAGCAGACTCTTTCCCCAAATCTGCTGGTTCTACAGTAGACTTTATTTTTATCTCCCCAATCACCAAGCTCTCTTATGCCTTCCCACTTCTCTGTCACACGTTTTTTGGTGTGTACCCAGGCCTTTCTGCAACTGAGTGAAAGAGTCTGTAGTTACTTTCACAGAATCATGGCTTAAATCATGCATTGGATTATAGAAGAACTAACTATTGAAAGACTAGCAGTCTTTCAATATGAATGATATAGGTTTGTGATACACATACATATGCTTCTTAAATGTTCTTAAGTATCAGTATGTAGTGATGGGCTGTAATTCCCGCAAATTTGAAAGAGTGATAAACACAAATGATATTTCATGCATCAGTGTTGGTGATTGGTTAACAAAACCATTATCACAGGTGCTGCCTGTGCTGATGCTTGTTGTTTGTATTTATATCTGTGAAATAAGGATGTTCTTCTTTTCTCATCTAAGTTCATGGATACTCTGTTGTATTTTCACCATTTAATCCTTTCATTTTTCTCCTGCTCACTGTTACTACTTATTACCTGGACACCCACAAGAGCCATCTTCTCTGGACCTTCTCTACTGCATTCTCTACCCAGCAGTCAGGAATGTTCCCAAAAAGTAAAATGCAAATCAGATCTTGCTGACCCTTACTTTATACTCTTCTATTTCTTTTTACTACTTTTCAGATAGAGACTCAAACATTACTGGGTTGTCAAGTCTCTTTCTTGAGTCTGGCTCCTCCAGTCTCCCCATCAAGTCTCCCTGAAGGTCTTTCCCATGCCTGCCCTGGCACAGCCATGCTTTTCTTCCAGGTCTTTGAATGTGCCTTGTCTTTTTACTTCAGGGCCATTGTCCCATCTTTTGTTCTGCACTGAATTAATCATACTACCTAAACATAGCACCTTTGAGCAACATAACATTTGTTGTTTGGCTTTCTCCCAGTCTGGCGTACAGGCAGGTAAAGTTTAGGTGATTCCTTTGTGGCTAGGGCTAGATTATAATCTGGAGGTCTGACTGGAGAAGGATCTGTTTGCTAGTTAGTGCGATTATTGGCCTTGTGAACCATTGCACTGAAGTCTTCAGTTCCTTGCTGGTTTTTGTCTGAATTGTCCTCAGCTTCTGCCTATTTCTGCCTTCCTAGAGTGGCTACTTGGCTTCCTGAGAGCCACCAGGAAGCCAGGATCCTAGCAAGGAGGATGTTATAGTCATGGTAACATTCCATTATGTTGCTGTATTCTTTTGGATAGAATCAACTCACAGGTCTTGCCACTCTCAAGGGAAAGGGTTTACAAAGAGGACCACAATTTTGGGAACCACCCTGGTGTCTGCCACATCCCTCTGCCCCATGTTCCTGTCCTTGTAAGTATTTTTAGAAGAAACAGTTTCCACATACCTCTGCAGAGAATGTCTTGCATAGAGAAGCCTTTATGTCACCATGTTCGAGCTGTGCACAGCACGCAGGAGCCAAATCCCACTCTTGAATTGGCCATCTTGAAAGATGTTGTATCAGGTGTTTTCCAGAGTGGTCAGTTGAAGCAAGCAGGAGAACACCTTTTCTCTCCTAAGGTTCCTTCTTGTCCTTCAACAAACTTTTCATTCAGTGCTCATTTGCTAACGCTTTGTGCCTGGGTTAGAAGCAGGATGAGCAAGGTAAGAGCTTGCAGTTTGGAGCTACATGTTCCTCACTTAAGTGTTAGTATTTTTTCAACTGGAAGGTCTGTTGTTTTTGTTTTTGTCTTTTTTTTTAATTCAGTTCCATTTGGACATAGCCAGCATGCTGTATGTCAGACTGCAGTGCTGTGAGGCCAGCTTCAGTATCACTTTCCCTCCTTTTATGACCACCAAGGCCAGCATTCACAACTGACGGCAGGGGAACCAAAGGGTTCTGGCAGATTTAAAACTGTTTTCAGTAGCAGTTGTTCTATATTTTTTCAAGCATAATCTTTGGGGAACCAAGATCTATAAAACTGGCAAAAGTGGAGAAGGGTTTGAAGCCAGGGAGTGGGGCAAACTGCCTGCTTGGGTTTGTCACCTCCTCTGGTAGAAGACTCCATAGTGAGCACTTGGAACCCTGGGTGGGAGAAAGGAAGGTTAACAAATAGCTGAGGAGACAGGTACCTAGACAGGTAGAACACCACGTTAGTGCCGCTCCATTCGTTCCCTGACAAGTTGCTCTCAAATGGGGAGTTGCTGGCCTCTTAAGGGTATTTTTGTTGTTGTGTTACGTTCTTTTTCTTTTTTTGTGGTTCTGGGAATTGAACTCAGGGCCTCATGCTTGCTAGACAGGCTCTACCACTTGAGCCACTCTACCAGCCCCTTAAAGGTATTTTGAAACAAGTGGGCATCATGGTGTGGGTGCCATGATGCTGTACCAAATGGTAAAAACATCCTTACTGAGAAGCTTCAAGAAGCCAGACTTCTCCTCTTAGTCCAGTGTTCTCTCTTTGTGTTGTTGGTGGTCAATCCTAGTTGCATATGAGATAGTTATTCACAGCTTTTTGCACATAACTGAGCTTGGCCAACATGTAAATCGATTCAATTAGAGTCCTGGGGTAGGGCCCGGTAGGGTTTTTTTTTTTTTTTTTTTTGCTGGCACCGTCTGTCGGCAAGCCCTTTTATGCGTTTTTTTCCCCCATAGTTCCACAGCCTGGGTGCTCCCTGGACCTCCCCTTGAGGGTCCCCTATTCTTTGGTCTCCCATCCACCATTCCTTGGCTCTGACCCGTATCCAGCAGCAGGTTTGAGATAGCCAAGTTCCCATGGGATACACTGTAGTGCAGGGCTTTGTTCCCATTGCCATCGGCCAGGTTGACCACGTACGCCAGCAGCTCAGTTCCCATGCGTGTCACACCTCGCAGCACCCCAGCCATGGACTCAGCCTGAGAGCGCCACTGACTGGACACTCGAAACCATTCCTGGCCCACAAGACGCTGCGCTCTGCCGGGATAGGGGCAAAGAAGGTGTCACGATGGTCCAAGGCAAGGTGGCAGAGGGAAGCTGTGGAGGCGGCGTGGGGAAGACCCCTTTGGTGATCCCGGCAGGGTGGAAGTCTCCTGATGGTCAGAGTACGGAGACCATAGGAACTCAAGTAGAGGGCTGAGGCCACACCTCTTTTGGAGAGTTCCCAAGTTCTAGAGGACACGGTTCTACCCTTCCGGGAAAAATCTGAGGGAGAACTTGGAGGGGAGATAGTGAGCGTTTGCTCTTGGGAGTCCAGGAGTGGGGCTGGTACTTGCATTCGTGCTTTGGGAGAACCAAGGAAAACAGCGCTGTGCTAGGGCGGAGATTCCTTTGGAAAATCTGGGCTCAGCGGAGGCCCCAGGCGACAGGGCACCAAACTTGGGATTCGAGCTCCAGAAAACCGAACGCACTTCCCTAAGAGAGACTGAGGGAGTGAGGGGAGGTCCCTCATGGGACCTCAGCGCCCCCACTGGCAAGCCGTCGCGGGTGACTCCTCGGGCCGGCTCAGCTGCCAGTGCAGCACAATACACGCCTCTCTCAAACACGGACTCAGCTCACACCTCCCCTGTGTGGCCAGCTGAGGTTCTGACTCCGCCTCAGGCTTGGAATCTCGGGTGTCCTCATCGTTGGGAAGCCCAGGGGTGCTGGAGTCGGATTTCCCGCTGCAGTCGTCCCCAGAGCTGGAAGAGCTACTCTGGGCTTCGGCGGCGCCGTCATCACTGTTGCTGTCGCTGGCATCCTCGCTGGACGAGCTCTCATACTCTCCGTTGAGGACCCCAACAAACTGCAGGCTCTTGGGTCCCGGGCTAGGCTGGGCACCAGGTGTACCATCTTTCTTCTTCATAATGGACTTGAGGATGCCTGCAGGGGCCATGGCCTGGTCTCCAGCGGTGGATACAGATGGGGTCTCCAGAGTAAGGAAGGGGGTCTCTGCTGGGGCGTCGGTCTGCGTAGTCTTCTCCGCACAAACCCACGGAGTCTGGGTGGCGGCCTCGCATGATGGGGACCTGGCCGCCATCGCTTTATTCTCCGCAGCCTTGAGGGCCTCTTCCAACTCCTGCAATCGGCTCCGCAGGAGTTCTCTCACCCCTTGCTGGTGTTCCAGGCTGGCGCACAGCAGCTCCAGCTCGCGCTCTGCGGCCTCGGGCAGCCCCAGCAGCGCCTTGGTCACCCACGCGTCCGCCTCAACGGTCTTGGGGACCACTTCCACGCTGGCCTCCCGGATCTCCGGCACTGCCTGGGTACCCGCCTCTCGGGTCTCGGGCACAGCATCGTTGCCCATCTCCTGGGTCTGAGGCGCCCCATCAAGGGTTGCAGCCGCCCCGTCTAGGATTTGTATCGCGCCCTCGCTGCACCTTGCAGCCAAGCTGTCGGGGCCATCAGCCCGAAGGCTGGCCCTAGAGCGGACGCCTCGCTCGGAGGTGGCCAGGTGTTCAGTGAGCCGCCGCAGCTGGGCGAGCTTGTCCGGGTGCAGCTCAGCTTCCCCGTCTGGCTCTGGTTGCGCGCGCCCAGCCAGTAGCTGCTCCTTCTCTGCATGCAGCGCGCGCACCTGCTCTTGCAGCTCGGGCAACGCGCGCGCCTGATCCTCAAGCTCGCGCAAGCGCCGCAGTGCCAAGGCCATCTGCTCGCGCACCAGCTGCAGTTGCACAGGGCCAGGAGAGGCAAGGGCGGGGTTGGGGGCGGGGCTGGGGGTAGGACTACTGCGGCCAGACCCACGCGGACTGCGCCGAGCCGCGCGGCAAGAGCTGAGCGCGAGCTCGCATGCCTGTTCCTGTGCCTGCTCCAGTCGCCGGCTGGTCTCCAGGAGAGTGTGCTCAACCCGACGGTTACGCACGAGTGAGCGCGGCGACAGCGGCGGCAACAAGAGACCCGGAGACGCTCGGGGAGAGAGTGCGCCCAAAGCTCCTCCATCATCACTGGCCAGGGACTCGCTGGATGTCCAGGCGCCTGGGCGCCACCCCCTGGAGGCCCGGCCGCAGCGTGCGGGGACGGCGCGCAGATGAGGGTCCTGGGGCTCGGCGGGAGGCAGGACCGCGCTCCAGCTCCTCCACGTACTTGAGGAAGTCCAGGTCCAAGTGGAAGCTGTAGGGCATCTCCACAGTGTAGGGCGAGCTCGGGCTGCGGGCGCTCCCGTGTGGCCCGCAGGCGAGGCCGCCCAGGTCTGCAGTCATGACAGGGGTGTGAGGGGCGGTCAGACCAGAGAGTTCCCAGAGAGAAGGACAGAAATAGGCGCCCCCCACCCCCGTAGGGGTTTTTTAAAAGTTCTCCAGGAGTCTGGGTGCAGTGGCTTAAACCTGTGGTCCTAGCTACTTGTGAGACAGAGATCAGAAGGATCTCTTTTTGCCCTAGGCCAGCTAGGGCAAAAATTTCCTGAGACCTCATCTTCACCGGTGGCTGGGTGTGGCGACTTGTACTTTGTTATCCTAGTTATGTAGGGAGGCACAGATAGGAGAATCATGGTTCAGGCTAGCCTGGGCATAAAGCACAACCCTGTCTCAAAAATAACCAATGCAAAAAGGGCAGATGGAAGGACTCAAGTGGTAAAGTGCCTGTCTAGCAAGTGTGAGGCCTTGAGTCCAACCCCCAGTACCACTGCCCTCTTTCCTCCTTAAAAGAAGAAAAAAGTTCCTCAGGAGATCTGAAGTACTGCCAGGGTTGGGGATCATTGCCTTAATTTACTGCTAACTGCTTTCAGAGGCTGTCGTTAAATAAATTGTGGTTAAAAATAAGCAAAGGGAAATCTGGAGGGTAACATGTTGTAATAGACAAGTGGATCTGAATCAGTTGACACATCTCAATTCGGGTTCAAATTGCTAAGCAGTGTATAATACTCAAAACTTGGTATCTGTTAGGGCAAAGACTATCTCTTTTTTGGGGGGTTACTTCTTTACTCTTTTTTTCCTTTCTGAATATTTCAGGCTAATAGGGTAAAGCATTTGTTTGTAACACACAAGGTTATTTTTTGATCTTTCCTTCCTGAGGTCCATCTCTATCAGTTAGCTCCTGTTCTTTGTCCATACCTTTAATAAGGCCCTGAGATGTCCATTTGGTTCCCATTCACCCCTCAACACTGAGCATTCCTAGTAAGTGGTCATTCAGTTTGGAAAGATGTATTTTAAAGTTGTTGTGAAATCCCAGTGGTTAGAAAACTTTATATTGTTGTTTAGTGAGGGAAAGATGCAGAAAAATGATCACATCACCTGATGTAGGGAGTTCTCAGAATAGGCATTGGCTATGAATGGCCTTCTAGTTTTTCCCTTGAGGATAGCTGTATTATAAGGCTAATTTTAAACACCCTCTTTGAACACTTTCAGATCTCTTTTAGTATATTTCTCTCTGTCTCTGACATGCCTCTCATTGACAACTAATTTAGTTTTAATCTTACTTTGCTAACTTTCCAGAATAGTTCTTTTCCTCCTAGCTCACTCATTAATCTATAGATTTCTTGTTTTATATCAGTTTCTGCTTGTGAATTTTTCTGTAAATTGGTGGCAGTGATAATGGTTTAGGTCAGTGTCTTTTTACTTTTTCATGAGATTGCATTGAAAATATAATTTAGTCTTCAGTTAGGTTGATGACGATGACTACTACTACTACTACTACTACTACTACTGGTTTTTATTTTTCTTTCATTCTTCAGACAGGGTCTTCCTATGTTTCCTAGGCTGGCGTTGAACTCATGATCCTCCTGTCTCAGCCTCCTGAGTGCTGGGATTACAGGCATGTGTAATCATGTTCAGCTGTATTAGTTAAGGTTGACCTGATAATTTTTTTTTTTAAATTTTGGAGACTGGGTCTTGCTATGTAGCTCTCAGGCTAGTATTGAACTTGTGATTCTCCTACTTTTGCCTCCCAATGCTAGGATTGTAGATCACGTGCAAGTGGGTAAATGTTTTGCACACATCATGGGTATGGGTAAATATGATGTATATATTACATAGTGCTTCGGAGTTGGTTGTGAGACCACTGTCTGTAGCAGTTTTGGAGAACTACTCTTTATGCCAGTGTACACAGTGTGGTGTTTAACAGTGAGGTTGTGAGAGTCTGTTTGCTGGATCTGGCATTCTCTCCTCCTCCTGTCTTGTGCAGCTCAGGTACTCTGTGCTTCTGGACTCAATTTTTAAGGATGGTTTGGAGTACTCAGTGAGTTAACAGGTACAACATAAACACAATGTATTATGAACCATTAGTCACTTGCCCATTGCTGATCTGTACAGTAAATAATATTGAAGCAGAAGAAAGCACTGACTATAAAGTAAAAAATGATGGCACACTGGCTTGCATTACCAGGAGACCGAACTGAGTGAAACGTCAAGTCACACAGTGGTAGGCGCCATGTATCGTAGCAGCTCCACCCTAGGTGTGTTCTCAGCAGAAATGTGTGTGTGAACCAAAAGATGTGGAGGAGTGCAGGAGCACTATTCCAAGTTCTCTAAAACTGGAAACAGCTTAAGTATGTGCAAGAGCTGCATGGAAAGTTAATTGTGACATGCTCACATAGCAGAAACTGTGAAGTCAGGGAGGCAAATGAAGTATTGTGTGTTCAAGAAATGAATAACTTTCACAAACATAGTGTTGAGACAAAAGAAACCAGACTCTCACAGTTCAGTATTGAATGATTCTGTAGACAAGTTCAAAACATGTTTGAAAACAGGTAAACTGAATGTATGGTGTTAGAGTCAGGAGAAGTAGTTAGCTTTGGAGAGTGGGGAGGAAGTGGTAGTCTGGCTTCTGGGCTGCTGGTGGTGTTGTGTTTTGTACAATACACATATGAACAAACACACTGAAGATTTGTGGGTTTTTTTCTGTTTGTAGAACTTTTCAGTAAGGAGGTCATTAAAGTGGCATAGAATATAAAATAGCTTGTTAAGCAACAGTGAGAAACCAGCCAAATACTTGCAGTAATGCACATAGTCTTACAAAATGCATATTCTGATTTTGTTTTTCTAAAGTTCAAAAAGTTAATGCCAGGTTGTTGTTTAGGGACACATAGGCAGCTAGTGAGGGAGGCAGCAGTGAGGGAAGCAGAGCCACTGTGAGTATTATGGAATAAAGAACTCTTTTATTACAGAAATAAGATCTTATACAACTCTGGGAGAAACTGGAAACAAGAGCCCAAAAGGAGGGACTATAGGATCAGGGAAATTCATTAAGCCACCTTTCCTGAAGCACCTGTGTTTGGGTAGGCAGGTCAGCTGCTAGCACCTGCTAGCGTGAGACCACATGGGCAAACTGATGAAAAAGTGTGTGATAGGTCTGCTCTTAGCATGTAGTGGGAGCTGGGGACTTCTGTTGGTTGGCGAGGCCAACAGCTAGGAGAAAAGCTCTTGAGAGAAGAGTGTGCAGACAGTCTGGTACCCTGCCGCACCTCCTTTTCTTTGTTTCAACATCTCTTTGGAAAGTAGTGGCTGTTTCTTCTCCATATCTCTCTGTTACCACCTCAGCTACCACAGCCTTGGAAAGTAATGGGTGTTTCACTTTCACCTTTTAAATCTTGTGCAAATGCAGGAAAGGGCATCGTGGGAAATCCAGTCTAAGCAAATCATTGGAGTTAGAAATTGCCACAGTGATGGTTGCACAAGTTTATATGTAAACTTTTTAAAAACACTTCTCAAGTTGGTAGAGTTTATGGTATGTGAATTATGTCTTAATAAAGTTGGTATTTAAGCAAAAACAACCATAGGTTGAAACTGTAAAGGGAAGCATGGAAACAATTAGTAAAAAAGTTAGGCTGGTGATTCCTTTGTGGGAGGACGGCTTATGAGAAGGAGTTTTCCACAGTTTAGAAAAGTTTGTCCTTCATAGGAGAGAGGGTCCACACGTGCTTACTTATTAACATGCAGTCCTGTGGTGGCAGGGAGTAAAATAGCCCAGTTTACAAAGTTATGGTCATAGTCATTTTCTAGCTTTATAAAGATGAGAAGATGCTAACCTGGATGATCTCAGTGTTCCTCCTTGAGGTCTGGATTCCAGAATGGTAATTGTTTTTTTTTTACCAGGTTATACCTATGTTACCCTAAACTGCTGATCTTTGAAAAACTAGAGAGTAGTAACTATGATGCTTGTTAACTAGGGCTCCAGACAGGTCTGAGAGTAAGTTTTTAAAATAGATCAGTGGGGTAGTTGTGTCACTTTTAACTGAACGTATTAGATTTCAAAATCTGAGCCACGATTTCTTTGTACTTAAAAGTAGATTTTTACAGATTCATTAAATCTTCCATATCAAATCTGTTTTGATAATCAGAGAAACTGGAGCATTGTCATCATCTTTATGTACTGGAAAATGCCCCTATCTGCTCCCTACTTACGTGGTGCCACTTTTCATTGAATGCTTGTTATGGCTCTTTTCATTCTGTATGTAATAAGGAAGCAATTGTCCAAGTAAAAGGCATGCAGCTTTCCTGCCGGGGTAGTAGTCATACTGTAGTTTTGAAATGGATGTGAAAGTTTTTTAGAGAAGTTCAAAACAGAGAGTATCGTGTATCATTTGTATGCAAAGGTTAGATTTTTTTTTTATTTTGATCTAGTTATGTAGGCTTTTAGCTGCTGCTTTTGGTGTAGAACATACATAGAATGTTTTTTTGAATGAGATTATTTCGACATGGTTTAAATTTGTAACAATAGTCTCCTTATTACTAGTGGTACCTTCAGACTATTTGTAAAACTTCAGAGATACATTTGTCACATAATGAGATTCTTCAGAGTTTGATGATTTGAGTCAGATGTCACTTTTAATGCCTCTTCCATTAAGAAATAAATTTTGATGTTTTCTAAACCAATTCTTAAGCATTATGTCTGCTAATCCTTTTCATTCAGTGGTCATTTGGCGTGCCTACCGAGTACTGTTAAAGAAAAATTTATTCATGATACGCCTGCCCTCACATAACCCCTCCCCCAAACCAGTTAAACAGTAGCCAGACTGTATTCAGGTGGCTATCCATAGGAGTACAGCAATGGAGTTTTGCAGTAGGGGAGAGAGCGGACCCAATTCTGGGTACAAGGACAGATGAGGATTTATAGCCACGAAGCTGGTGGATGGAAAATTACTAAGAAGAAACATGTAATGAGGGAAGGAGCAAGGGAGAGAAGGAGGGAGGAAGGGGGAGGGAGAAATTATGACCGGTGTTAAAATAAGCATGGTGGTGCATGCCTGTAGTTCCAGTATTCAGGA